ATGTCGATTAATTTATAAGGATAGAAATTTGTACCTTTTCCATTACCTAAGCAGTCAAACTTAATAAAAAAACCACATCTTAATGCGTTATTCCGAAATCATCAATACGTTAAAATGCGTTGCGAAGATATGAACTCCTTAAAATGCGTAATTCTTTTAAAAATTACGCTTTTTTTACCATTTCTGCGACAATTTTTACAAGTTATATCATGTTCGAAGATGTTGATACGTTTTAACATGTTAATATCACATTAAAAAGAATGGTTTTATTTGTTTGTTTTAGAACTAGGTCTAATACGTTCAATTTCAACTCGTTATAAAGGGTGTCCTGTAAGTTCTGATCCCTTTTTCCAATAATTCATTAGAAAAAGAGATCAGAACTTATTGGACACCCTTTATGTTGTTTTTTTTAAACAGAATTTAATGCATTCATACAAATTTATCAATTTATGAACGTTAAAATGCAGCATTGTGATCCAGAGAAAACAGTTATTTTGGTATTTTCATAGTACATAAGATATTCATATGTTGAATTGATTTTTGAGTGAGATGAAAAACTTTGTTTAACGTCGAAAGAAAAAAAATCATAAAAATATCTTATACATATATTTTCTGATATATATTTGGTTCAAACATGCAATTCGCGTTCGTTCTTGTTCAATCCGGGGTGTGGGTGTGGGTCTGGACGTGGGCGTGAGTGGGTGTGAATGTGGGTGTGGGTAGGTGTGGGTGTGAATTGGAGACAGAGCAACACCCGCACCCACATCCTACACGCGCACTCCCAAACTCATCCCATTTCTCCCACAATCACACCTTACACGCACACTTCCATACCCTATGAATGAAGACATAGGTTTGGTTATGCAGATGTCGGTTGATGACGGCAAGCATGTGGGTGCGCGTGTAGATGTTCATCCTCTGTAGACAGATATATTAAGTGCATTTACATTTACACCAAAACAATCCCCACATTTATATACCCACCCATACTTAGGGGAGCAAAGCCACACTCCTAACGGCACACGCACAAGGACATCCAACTCCACCTCAGCATCCACACCCTAGAAACTCTTCAGCGTTCTTCAAGAATGTGTTGATGTCGGTGTAGGTCGCTTGTTTACCATACACGCCAACATCCACGCCGATACGCACATCCACACGCCCATACTCACCCTTCTACTCCTACACCCATCCTCTAATGGAAAGGATGATAAATGAAATGTTTACTACGACTATATTAAAAGAGAACGAAATCAAAATTGCTGTCTGTATTTAGAAGTTGTTCACGATTTTGAAGGGAAATATGTCACAACTTTTTTTTCCAGTTTCCACTAGGTATTCCGATTGCGAAGCGATCATTCGATGCTTTTTCCAAGATTGCTTTAAGTGACATTTTCTAAAAATACTTCATTTTACTGTTTCATTTCTTTTGTCAAAAATTTTAATGCGTTTTATTGCTGTATTATTTCGACTCTGAATTTACACCTGTGCTTTTATTTTTAATATAGAAATAAAATGAAAGAGAAGAACAAAAAGAAACTTGGTGTAAATACGACGGCAACAATGAACAAAAAATGAAAATGGTATAAAAATAATAATACAAACAAAAATTGAAGTATTTTATTAGTTTATAATGACAGTGTTAAAATCTAATGAATATGATAGCCATTGGATGAAGTTATTTCAGTATTTATATGCTCTGTCTTTCGCATCAGCAAGCTCCGTCTTTTTCTGATCATTAAATAAAAATAATCCACAAGTACCATCTTGTTTTCGTTGTTCACTTTCATCTCTATTAACAATTGCTTGTGTATATGAATCAATAGGTGCCGTTTCGCTGTTTCCTATTTGATGGGAAGTCATTTTTGCGAGACTACCGCCAGCTAGTGCACTACCGCCAGTTAGTGTTATAGACGTTCTTCGTGATGAAGCTTTAGTTTAATTGAGAATCAAAACAAAAATAAATAAAAAAATTCATTGTAAAACATACTTAGGAGCTATTGTACCGTAAAGATGACTTAAAAACGAACTATATGTTCAATTATTATTACGGATTTCAACGAAATTTTGCCATTGTGTAGCTCTAAGTTAGATATGGAAAAGCCTAAAATTTCACGTTCTAAAACTATTCTTTTGTTCAGACGTCCAAACGATAACAGAGATTCCTTAAAGCAAAAAATGAAAGTGGTCACAACAGTGCCTATACATATTTTATATTTCATCATTATTTAACGATAATCTTTTTAGTCATTAAAATTTATGAATTTATACTATCATAGATACGCTACATATTGACATTTTGATAATCATTTTACAGCATGTTAAGCAGTATAAAAATTTCATAGGTCCTATGTATACTCCTCACCTTGCAATCAGGCTTTCTATCGCTTATGAACGAGCTGTGAGCTTCGCTTTGTAACTAAGTAATAATGCTCTCAATTACTAGCAGCTAACACTATATGAAATAACCCGTGATCCCTGGTAGAAGTCACAGAAGCTAGAAAATTTTTTTTGCTTAAGGCCATTAAATATTTGTGACATAATATAAAAGGCTATATTCTAATTTCATCTCGCTAATCAGAATTTACTCAAAATTCAAATATAATAGATCCATGAGAAAACAAAAATTTTTCTAACCGTATTCCAATAGCTATCTCCCCATAGTTTAGGGGTCATAAAATTTTTTATGATTCTCAAAGAAGTTTTATATGTCAGTTTATAGAGGATCATGTACTGATTTATACTGGATAGAAACTTCTTTAATATGATAAGCTTTGGTAGTAATTTCTGAATAAGTTTGAGCATATTGTGTATAAACATAAGACGTGTTTATTTTTTAGTGATAGAATTCTCGAAAAAATTTATACATTTCGAGATCGAAACAATATTTTTTTAGCGACTTGCGTAGAAATTGATTAAACAGTTCACCTTATAAAACATGCATAAAAACTAATCAAATTGATGATCATCGATCGTGTCTTATGGGAATTGGCTCATACTTTGTAACTGGAAACATTATCGTTCAATAATGTTGAAATATAGTTATAATATATGAGTCTCTCTTGTACATCGAGTATCTGAAGAGGAGAACGATTTTAGAAGCTAAAATCTTGGGCGTCTTCACATTTCACTTGGTGGTGCTTATAGGCAAAATTTCATTAAAATCTGTGATATCAATTGAGTGGGATTGGTAATTCTTTTCATACAATGGCCCTTAAAAATATAGTTTTTTCTTACCCATTTGTAAATTGTTTGTATCACTTCGATAGCAATTCGTATGAGTTTAATAGTCTTGAAAGAAACACGAGAAGGAGAAAAAAAAAGAAAGTGCAGTTGTTAGAGATCATATTTCTTACTCTTTTTTTTTTGAAGAAAAAGAAAAGTGAAAAAAGAAAAAGTGTTTGTTTGTCTTATTCTCTCCATTGAAAGGAGGGTCATATAATATAAATTGAGTTTGTATGTTTGCTAGCATGTTTAAAAGCAAATGTTGAGTCACGTACACACAAATTACGGAGATAGGGACTTTTTATAAAATTTGACTAAAGCTATTCAGGGTGTGGGTGTTGGTGTCAGTATTTTCTCTTTCTAAAGTGGCATACTCTAGATATATATGCCAGACCTACATTCGATACCATCATTTTTTCGATTTAACAAAGAAAGGTCACCACTGTTGCAATATACCATCAAAACTGAATTGATTTTTCCGTTTGAAATTTGAGAAATTTTATCTATTAACATGACCGAGATCCTTTAACTGTTGCCTTCAATTGTACATATCTTCATCTAAATGATGTTTCGATATAATATGATGTTTATGTAAATGATGGATATCGTTGTAACGTTTCTGTTCTATAACAATTCCACTGTTATCTAAAAAGAATAAAAATAACTAAATGATCAGTTGTTTGAGAAACGATTCAAAATTAAAATGTGGCATAAGGATTATTCTCTTCAGGATAGATAAAATAAATGACCATTCACCGAGATAGTAAGATGAAAACTATCGATATATTCAGACGAATAGAATAAGTTTATGGAAAATTTTCATAAGCGTGTTTTGATCACATTGATTCTTATTGTCAAGAAGAAAAAAAAACAAAAGAGGCCTATTTTATCTATAAATAGTGTTGCTTTCGAAGGAAATTGCACTTAGTATGATAGAAGAGTCGTGGTATATTTGTTGTGCCCTAGAAAACTGCGTTAGAATTCAAATCACTTCGGATGTGGGTGTCGAGTACAGGTCTTCTGTTCATCAACACCCACACGCACCCACACCCACCCACACTCACACTCCACACCCACACCCCACATCCACCCACACCCACACCCACACTCGCAGTGGATTATTGTCAAAAAATACTAGAAATGGTTTCAACACTGCCAGGCAATCATTGTGAAAAAGTGAAAGTTGTATGATTGAATCAATTCTATTAATGGCAATGAAATGGCTATATTCATATCCAAAAGACGGAGCCTTACAAGAAGACGTGTGGATTTTTGTTGCTGTATATGATCGCTTGTTTATGAATAGAAAATAAGATTAATTGCTCCAAAAAAAATGTTTTTGTGGCTTATTTGCAGGTCAAAAAAAGTGAGTTCCACACGTAACCTCCAAATTTGGCGAGTGAGGTGAGGATGACGGAGAATCAAGAGGGGTCCTCATTCCTCACCCTCAATGCATCATTCATCTTTTGAATATGTTGTTTATTTTCGATGACACTTCGATGTGTTGGTGGAAGTGAATGATGAAATACTTCGTCGGCTTTAGTATAATTTTCCAATGCTAATTCAAAGTTATTTGTTTCTTCATAAATTCTGCCGAAATTATGATATGCAACACCCAAATCTTGATGTGTTGGTGGAAGTGCTTTTGAATCTATTTGAAATTGTTTTTCATAATAAGGTAAAGCTAAATCATAATTCTTCATATAGTAATACACAACACCAATATTTCCGTATGTTCTTGCGAGAAGATAATGATGTGAAGGAAGATGTTTTTCTTGAATTCTTAATGCTTTATTGTAAACTAAAAGAGCTTCATCATATTTCTTTTGGCGTCTATACACAATGCCCATGTTCTGATATAACTCTGCAACGTCCGGATGATCATCACCTTGTACATTTTTCTTCATTTCTAATGACTTATTATAATGTTCCAATGCTTTTTCATGATCATTTTTTCTAGCATATGCACTACCAAGACCATGATAGTTAAATGACATGTTTAAGTCATTATTTGGAGCTGACTGATATATTTTTAATGATTTTTCATGATACATAATCGCCAGATCATACTTTCCTGTTAGATGTTCGATACGACCAAGGCCAGTATAGCAGCGAGCCACTTGATATGAGTTACCATCACTTAATGCATCTAGTTGCCGTTGAAAATACTTTCTTGCCTTGTTGTATTCACTCATGTCTTCAAATAAATTTCCAAGGTCTGCCAGACTTGTTTTCTCAGAGATTTTGTTTTTCATATAATCAGAGACATCTTTCAGCTGCTGATCATTTTCATTGCATAGCCTCATTTTTATTATCCAAACATCCTCTTGTTGAAAAATATTCTCAATTTTGAAGATTGCGCCCAACATGAATAAAACTTCTTCCTCCGTTTCAAAGTAACTATGTTTTGAAATGTTGGCGTACGGCTTTGTTGTTTTATCTGATGGATCAATCAAAATTTCGAATAAAACTGATTGTAAAATATTTCCTGTATTGACCATAGATGATAACGCCGGTGTCATATAACATGACGCGTATTCTTGGTTGAGCGTTGTCGACAAAAACGAATTCATTGAAATATTTGCCCCAACTGACATTCGATTCAATTCTTCCATCGACATCAGCTGACCTCGAAATACATTGGTGCCAATAGGTTGATCGTTTTCTGAACGTATTTCTATCAGCTGCCGATGAAGGTCAACGATGAAGAAACGGAATGCATAAATAATATCAATGTCTTGTACTCTCAGAGCTTTGTTCAACATTCTATAAAAACAACTTTCTCTTGTGTACCAATAAACAGCACGAGCCGATGAATATATTCGTTCGAATTCATCTATTTTGTCCAGTTCACTTCTGTTATTAGCATACGTTTTTCTACAAATATCAATCAACTCTTGATGATTTCCTTCCACAAGTGGCATGCGCAATAAAACTTCGATGAACAATTGAAACCATAAAAAACTCCCATTTAGATCCATGTATGACTTTTCATCTGTAGATCCTCTGTTGTAAATCGAAAGTGGCATTGATATTAGTTTTTCAATTTTTTCACGTTCTACTTGATCTTTCGACATTTTGGATACCAATTCGTCTAATTTTGTCGAAACCGAACGAACCTAATAATACAAAGAAAATACAATTGACTGAGGCATCGAAAGGATCCAAATTTATCCATCAAAGTTAAGATCACGTTCAGCAGATAATGCCGATTCGGCATTTGCATCTCAATTTCAATATATGGCAACCTATCTCTCAGAACTTTGTCATAACTAGACATCGCTGCGACTCACAATCGCGAACGGTACCTTAAAAAAGTCGTGACCGTCATCAGAGCCTGGTCACGTCCGTCACGACAATTTTTCCATGTGGCCGTATAACGGCAAATTTTTAATCTCATTAGAGAATAAAGTCAGTTGTAACAAATTTTCTTTGGAGATTGTTTTTAACAGTGGTTGAATTCCACAATTAGTCTAAAAACCAGATATATCTTGTTATATCCGACTGTGAATTTCTTCCTTTTTTTTACATATACCAGTCATTATATATTATAATTTTCCGAAATATAAGCAACATTTTTTCAGCGTTTTATGAGCCGGATTACATTAGAAAAATAATACGGTAGTGACGTCATATTAAAATAAGAATGTTTCCACTCATGAGTAATGCATCAATCAAAATCTAGAGTGAAATATCGATTTGTCTAATTCAATGGGAATACAGAAATCGAATTGAATTTTGATTGGGACATTAACTTTAATGCAGTTTTTAAAAGTGTATTAATTCATTACACTTTTAAAACAATAGTGAACCTAGGATTTTGAGGGAAGATGAAAGTGCAAGTACAAAACGTATTTTGAGATGTGTTCGAAGTAATATGAGAGCATTTTTCGTTGTTTTTGCTGAAAAAATAAAAAAAAAATCTTCTACAATGAAGTACATTCGCTTCGTTGCACTCCCTTAATTCCCTATTGTTTCAAACCAGTACTAAATAGGTATTAGTTTTCGTAGTGTCAGTGGGGAATCTAGGATTTTCAAAGAAGGGAGCGATTTTAGATAAACATCGCTTTGTAGGAACTATCTCAAGTATCATAAGCTCATTTTTCGTTGTTTGTCGCGGGAAAATCGAATAAATTGTCTCAAAAGAGAAGAGAGCGATTATCCTATTGGTTCCCTCTTAAATTCGACGCTACGTAGTGTATAACATGCCTGTCTGTGTAATACATACACGTGACGGCGACAGAAAGATATCGCACTAATACAACCAGTAGAATTTCCGTGTGATCGTGACCATAAAATATCAGTAATGCGGATACCTAGTCATAATTAGTTGAATAAAGCTTTTTACTTTTCTATATTCTTGTGGCCATTTTTTATTGCTGGATGTGTCCATGCTGTAGACGTAAATTGCACATATTTGCGGAAGATTATGTATGCATCGAATAATTTCTCCGTCAAAATTATCAGAAACAATAAAAATAATTTTTTCCTTTGAATTTTGTCGTCTTTCAATGTATTCTTTACACTGAATGCCATCCTCAAATGTCCTTATGTGATTGATGATCGTTCTCAAGTTTTGTTGTGTCTTTAAATGATCCGCCGTTGTATGGATAGTAACATCGAGCCATACAATAGAAAATATTTCCACATTTTTCTCTTCTTCTTGGTCGCCTCCTTCTATTGAATCGAATGTTCTTGATGAATTTGTCGTGAGAGAAATAAGAGCACTGGACAGTGCACTCATGGATGATATTTTGGCCAATACTTTACTATTGTTATTTGCCACGTTCTTCTCTAAATGATATTAAAAAATTGTCATTATGTTCTTTGCAAAGGATTATTATGGGTGTGGATGTGGGGTGTGGAGATGTAGGGGTGTGGGAGTGGATTTTGATGATTAGAAGATCTGTATTCGACACTTGCATTCTACCACCCACACTTACACCCAAAAAATTGTACAGCTATAATAGCAGGGAAGAACATAAGAATAAAAAAGTTTGGTTCTCTGATTTTGTTCACACCTAAATGAATGCAGCGAAGACATTCATATTAGAAATATTCATCAAGATCTGTACCGAATAGAATGCTTTTAAACTTGCTCTAGGATGCAGGACACTCAAATATGTTCCCTCATGAGTTAGACATCCAATTATTCAGATTTTGTGGTAATCTCATCAGGGAAGGCCGTGATAAACGCCTAAATATTGGAACAAATTCAATCATCGGATAGTTATATATCTGAATATTGGAACTGAATGGTTGAATATCTGATTTATTGGTGAAAGTTATTCGTTATTTGTATTCAAGTTTCACGTATGGCATACCTTCTGCTGAATTGACACTTGCTCTCGTGATCACAATTTAACTGTTGCGTTGACGTACACTAACAGATGAATGATGGGATTTTTGGCACTTGAATTATTAAAAACAAGTCGTTTCAGTTTTACTTCCGAGCTCACTTCCTTTTTTACTCTCTTTTCTCATCGCTGACTCGGCAAGTCCGATGGCACCTTTTTTACAGGCCCGTTTATTATATGGGGAAAAAACCAACAGTCGTTTGGCTCACCAATACATTAGAATATGCATCGTAATACAACATTACACAGAACTAACAAAAAATTGAAAGAGCACATTACATCGTGGGAGAAAAAATAGAACACAACTTGCTGACTGAAAAACGTCATTCTTCTTCACTATCAACATATTCTACGCAGTACTGATGTAAACGAGTTGTCATCGAGTAACCTTCGATGCGTTTTGATGTTTAATCCAGAAGAGATCAGACAGAATAAGTAAACCGATTTACTTTTTACGTTGCGAAGCATGTATACAGTTGATTGTGGTAATATAAAGAATCCACTGCGACCAATTTCGTCCTTGTTCAAGGGGCTCATCAGGTAGTTTCATCTTACGATGCATATTTACTTCAATTTAAAATAGGTAAGTTAAAAATATCGGTGCTTTTACACTTTGAGATTCCAATGTATATGATTGGTGACAGAACGAGAAAAAAAGTTGATTGATCAAATTGATGTATTCAGCAGTTAAACGAAATAAAAGATGACGCTTATATTTGTTTGAAGTCTGAATAAAAGTGACACAAGTCTTGAAAGCGAATGCGCTAATAAATTGATTTTTTGATGCGGAAATAAAGACGTTTTTGATTTCGTAAATAAATGAAATAAAAAATAAAAGAAAATTAAAAAAAGAGAACTATAAAAGTAAATGTTTTGCGGGGATGGGTGTGGGTGTGGGTGTGAGTGTTGGTGTTGGATGAGTGTGGGTGTGAGTGTGGGTGTGGGGTATGGATGTGGAGTGGGTGTGGGTGTCGGTGATGGGTGTTATGTCCACTAGTAGAAGACTCACACACATACCCACACCCTCAAAATTCAATAGGCATCTATGTGAGAACAATCCATTTTTACCTAAATAACGAAATAATGTTTATTTAAAGGCAGTTAAAACAATTTAATTTTTGAACTAATTGAAAAGAAGAGCCGTTTGAAGAGAATGCTTACCCTTAATCTTATTCTTTATTCTCATAAAAGTAAAAGTATATCATTGGGATTTGCGCATTTTTACATTTTACCAATTACTGAACTTACTTTCAATGAAAAGTGTACAATTTTAGAATACTTTCATGAAATTTCTTCTTCTTTTTTATTCAAAACGTCTTTTTCTTCGAAATTATTTAACCCGATTTTTTTTTGAAAAATCTTCATAGTGGCGTACGGTTACACTCGGGTGATGAGGGTGTGGGTGTGGATCCTGAAAACAAAAACCCACGCTCACACCCAATTGTATGTGGATACCGAAACATATATTTACTAATCCATCGTATTATGATCTTGTTATTCAATCAGACTATACTCTATCGGAATGTATTTTTGATGACCTTATTGATCGACATCTATCAAAATTTCGTTATACTGTTTCAAATAAAAAATATGAAGATCATATAATGTACGACGTGATACGATATTTAAACGAATGACTCGTCATTATAATAATGAAATGAAAAAATAATTTGAACTTCGCTCGATTTTGAAAGATA